TGGGGCGGTGGGGGGGGCTGCGGGAGGGGGCAGAGTGTGCTGGGGACGCTCAGCAGCCAGCTCTCAGGTCGGGGTCCCTGGTTGGGGTCCCTGGTTGGTAGCCATTGACAATTGACTTGGAGTAAACGCTCCCATGACATTTATATTTGTTCATACATATTTTTCATCCTTATTTTTGTCTGAGAAAAAGTTACTGTTCTATTGAATACTTCCACTACGTACCGTCTTCTTCTTCTTTTGAACAGGTATCTGTCCAGGGCCCTGGCATGTGGCCCTCACCCCCACTCTCCATGGGACTTTGAGCTTCTGTGTCTGGTGCTGTGTTGGGAAAGGTGAAGGCCAAGGCCAAGCTCTTGCTGGTTGGCCTGGGGAAGGGGAGGGAGGCAAGGAGGGAGAGGCCAGAGGCCCAAACCCTAGGCATCCCGCTCCTCTGCCATCAGCTCAGGCAGTTGGACAGGTCAGCCATGGCCCTTGCCAGTGTGCCCCGGCCTGTGTTGTAGGTCTCACTGTCTGCAGGCACGACTGCTCTTCACACCATGGCTGAGGCTGCCCTGACACTGAAGCTGCCCAGTGGAGCCACCGCAGATGGTGTGGGCCTATGAGGATGGAAATGTGGAATCACCCTGCCCAGGGGTTGGAGCAGGCTGGCTCGGGACCCCCTCACCTGTGGGGAGGACTTTGCTGCCATCCGTTCAGATCTGGAGCAAGAGAACGATCAAAGGACAAGGCTGGGCAGCCATCAGGTCCAGCGGCCACACGCGAACACACCTTTGTGTCCACGGCTCCCAAAGCAAGTGCACTGAGTGGCACCGCCGGGCTTTTTCCCAGCCTGTTTCTTGCAGTTACGGCAGCAGTCCACAAGGGTGCAGGGTGTTTGGTGGTTCTGAGCTGTTGATTCTGTTTAGGGTGGTTCTGGTCTGGAACGATTAGAGTGAGATGTTCAAGTTCTGTGTGTCTTGGTTTTGGAGAAAGGCTGAGATTAAGTTTGTAAGAAATGGATCACTGGGACCAGTGTGTCTGGATTGGGAGAGAATATTCCTGGATCAAGGGAGAGTCTGATAAGATTAGTGGGATTCATTTGGAGTTGTGATGCTTTTCCAGCTGCGCTGTGGAAAGATAAATATCCAAAGATGCAAGAAGAGTGGGCTACTGGTGAGGAAACCATGAACTCTGTCTTTTCTTTGCAGAGCAGTTCCCAAGCCCTCCGTGGGGCCACCTCCCTGTTTCCTGAACATCGCGGCTCATCTGCTTGTGCTTGATGAGCTCAGACAGGCCCAAATGAGCCAGCATTACTCCATCTTCTCTTGGTGGACTGAGGATCGTCATCGCTGTGGTTTGAACATGTCCCCAGAGTTCATATGTTGGAAATTAATTCCCAATGCAACAGTGCTCAGAGGTGGAGTATTTAAGAACAGTTTAGGTCAAGAGGCCTCCACCCTTGTGAATAGATTAATGCTGATTATAAACCAGCTGGAGGTTATTCATCCTCTTGCTCTCCCTCATCCTCTTTGCCTGTCTGCCACACAATGACACAGCAAGAAGGCCCGCACCAGATGCTGGCCCCTCGATTTGGACTTCCCAGCCTCCAAAACAGAGAAATACATTTCTTTTCTTTATAAAATACCCAGACTATGGCATTCTGTTACCAAAATGGATTAAGAAAACCTACAGAACAGGAGACAGGTTTAAAGACAAGGCTGTACTCAGAACAGTTTTAGTGAGAGATTGTGAAATATCTTCATCTACCTTCATTTTTGAGCTGTGACTAGTAAGAGGATGGGAAAAAACCACAGAGATTGACAATGTTTTATTTTGTTTTTCTGTCAGAAATGTGACATGAAAAAAGCTTGAAATTTAAAAGAGTAAACCAGCCGGGACTGGGACTGCATTCATCACTGATTCTGTAAATTAACAGGATGTTCCTGCAACTCTGCTCCAGATTGGCTGAGGCCCTAAGACAATAGGAACCCCTCCCCATTCTAGAGTAAGAAGCCAACTTGGGGGTTCTCTTGTGACTCTCTGGGGAAGGAGGGGTTTGTAGCCTCCTTGCGGTTTTCTGGGGTCCCCCAGAGTAGAGAAGCCATTCAAACTGCTGCTATCTCTTTTAAGTTTGTATTGAGTTGTTGTTGGTCTTTTTTTTTGAGTACGTGTCCTTCCCTGGAAATGTGCAGTGACTTTCTAAATTTCCTGGACATGCAGCTGCTTTTGAAAATTCTTATCCTTAAATGTCTGGCCCCACATGACAGGGGGAAGGAAAATTACAGGAGAAAAAACCAAAATAACCAAAAACAGGCATTGGCCCTCTATATTCCCTTAAGCCTCTTCAGGTGATGAAGGTTTGCAGCCATGATGGTCCAGCTCTGGGACTGCACCCCACCATCAGAAACAGCAATGGACATCAGAACACACAATCCCCAAATTTCGAGGACAAGGTCCTTAATGGTCATTGTAAGCAGCTGCCTGCCATAGGGCTGAGAGATGGGGGACAGGTAGGTACTAACCTGCTAAGGGCTGAAATTAACTAAAATTAGCTACGATTTGCTAACCAAGCTTTCCCTGTAAGCTGCATCTTTGAACAGACTCATGTTCCAAAACAGTTACATCACTCAGGTTTGAATATCTCTTAAAACAACACTTTCCAGCATAAATACTTATATGAAACTTTTCATATACTTCCATGTATATAAAACTTGCATGTCCCCAAAGTGCAATACAACATTGTAAAAACATCTGTGTGAAGAAAAGCCTTGAATTACATTTATACTGCAAAAGTTACAGAAGACAGGCACATGGGGGTACACTTTGAAAATACTCCAGGTGGCAGCAGGGGGCTTGCTATGTGAAGTATCTCTGGAGTGCAGTGGCACAATCCTGGCTCACTGCAGCCTCTCCTCCCAGATTCAAGTGATTCTTGTGCCCCAGCCTCCTGAGTAGGTGGAACTACAGTGTGCCACCACGCCCAGCTAATTCTTATATTTTTAGTAGAGACAGGGTTTCACCATGTTGCCCAGGCTGACCTGCCTCGGCCTCTCAGAGTGTTGGAATTACGGGCGTGAGGCACCGCACCTGGCCTCTGTTACTTTTAATTACATACAAAGGCAGAAGGAACAATGCTGTTGGTTCTGTGGTCAAGTGATGTTCTAGTATATTCCGCTGTGACGTTTTACCGTGCCTGGGAGTTCTGAGTTTACATGTACTTCACAGTTTCACCCAATGAAAACAGGCTTAAGTAATCCACACAGCTCAGCCTCCCAAAATGCTGGGATTACAGGCATGAGCCACTGCTCCCAGCTGGGTAAATTATTTTCTACTCTATAGCATTTTTTTGTTTTTGGGACGGAGTTTCGCTCTTGTTACCCAGGCTGGAGTGCAATGGTGCGATCTCGGCTCACCGCAATCTCCGCCTACTGGGGTCAGGCAATTCTCCTGCCTCAGCCTCCTGAGTAGCTGGGATTATAGGCAGCTGCCACCACACCCAGCTAATTTTTGTATTTTAGTAGAGACAGGGTTTCACCATGTTGGCCAGACTGGTCTCAAACTCCTGACTTCAAATGACCCATTTGCCTTGGCTTCCCAAAGTGCTGGGATCATAGGCGTGAGCCACACTGCGCCTGGCATTAGCATTTTAATATATGATTAGGGAGGCATTTAAAATAACTAGAAAAACAGAAATTATTTGAGAATTGATGATATAACTTGTTAGTTTTTAGAAAGAAATAGTTATATCCTTTTCTTTAATGTCATATTACAGATATCCATACGAATTTAAGATTTAATTTTTAAAACTGAAAGCATACAAGTACTAGAAACATATATGAATAATTGCATGACATTCTGTAAAGAAAAATCTTTATAGTCAGCACACCAAGTTGGAACTCTAGATACACAAAAAAATGATAGATTTAAATACCTTAAAATAATCCTTCTGTATGTCAGCAAAGCCTTGATCAAAGAAAAACTGTAAAATGAAATGTTTTATCTTGACAAATTACAGAGGAATATTTAATATCCTTAAGACAAGAGTTCTAATTTTATAATTAAAACCATGTCATTATAATAGAAATTGATGTAGGAGCATCAATGTACAACTCAAAAATGAGGGAGACTGTTGTGTAAAGATGTCACCATTTGACTAAATCTACTCTTGAGATGGATTTGACTTGTATCTGTTTGGTTGTTATCATGAAAGATGTTGGTGTACATGGGCTAGTTCCTTCACTCTTAATTTAAATATGTAATTAGGCCAGGCTTGGTGGCTCACACCTGTAAGCCTAGCACTTTGGGAGGCTGAGGTGAGCAGATTACTTGAGGTTTGGAGTTCCAGACCAGCCTGGCCAACATGGCGAAACCCTCTCTCTACTAAAAATACAAAAAAGAATTTAGCCGGACATGGTGGTGGGTGCCTGTAATCCCAGCTTCTTGGGAGGCTGAGGCAGGAGAATCACTTGAACCCAGGAGGCAGAGGTTGCAGTGAGCCAAGATTGCACCACTGTACTCCAGCCTGGGCGACAGAGTCAGACTCTGTCCCCCTCCCCAAAAAAAAGTAAATATGTAATTGACCTTTGCCTCACCTGACTGGTTTTCAACAATACGCGCTTCCTGTTCCTCCACTGTTTGGCCTACCTAACATCAATTCCAGGAAAGCCTATTGTTCTTTCTGAGTAAGGAGGCTGGGAGGCCTTAGCTTTCCTTAATCTACTTTAAGGGAGGGACAGTTCTTCCCTCAAGCATATTTTTATTTAGAAATTGTTTGATTTGGACATCTCTTAGATCATGGACGTGCTTTTGAGGTGGTATGTGAGGTGTTTTTGTTTTACTGAACATACAACTTCAGAGACGGGCCACGGAACTAGGAGAATATCCACATTTAATTGCCTAATACCTCCCCAAAAAGTATTTGTGCTTTAAAACAAAGTAGAAATGTCATATGTTTTTTGCTTTTTCATTTGGCCAAATCAACAGTGACTGCAAACCAAAAAATGAGCTAAATAAATCAAAACTACTTTCTTCTGGAGGTTTATTTTGGATAAAATAGTTGAAGATAGATTACAATGAGACATTGCACAAAAAGACTAGAAAATAATTTAAGAGGGTATTTTAAGCATGGGATTCTGACACACTCATAAACGTGTTTGCTCCCAAGCTCTTACTACAGAAAATAAGGTTTTTCTCCATCAAAAATAACCCAGTTACACCAGTAAATCTTCCCAGTTCTGAAAATCTGAAGCAACTGACAGATACTTCATTAAATGTAGAAACACTGTCTACTCAAAATATTTATATTATTACACAGTGACAAACATTTCCCACATCTATACAGCGTTAACCATAGTTTTCACAGCAAAGCAACAAGTGCTTTACTGATTGTCTTTTCCAGTTTATAGATAACTCCAATGTCATGAAACCATACTGTACCAAGCCAGCAAATAAACAGCCGCAGCCTCACCAAGCCACGCCAACGCAGGGCCCTATCTCCTGTCCTTTTTGCCTGCTTTCCTCTTTCCAGACAGCAAGTGCTTGGGCTTCATATCAAACACATGTCTATCCGCCTCCCCCTTCTTCCCCAATCGATTCATCTTCTTCTGAGCATTCTTCATCATCGTCTTGGCTTTCTTCACCATCTAAAAAGATGAGAAAAATTATGTTCATTACTTAAAACCAATTTTCCATTCTGAATTTTAACTACTGGTGACAGTGTTTCAGTGGCTCAGGCCTGCTCCGTGAAGAGACCCTGTTACATCTCTTTTCTCTTAGGCCCAGCACAGTATCTGCAGGAACTCAGTGAATATTTTTGTATAAAGACTGGATGAAAATCATATCTAGGACAGGTTTTATAGCCAGGACTAGATACATTTTAGACCTAGAAGTTTAGAACACATCTGTCTAACTTCCTTTTACACAAGCCAGGTTTCATGATGGAAACGGCACAGGGGAGTGAAACTCAGAATTCCATGAAGGAGACCTCGGCAGTTTATACAGAGACTTTCTCTGACACCTACGTGTACACAATGCTGAAACTACAAGTTTTTGTGTTTGATAAAAGGACATTTCAGCAAGAGAGACTGTACATCTAAAGTGTCTTTGCTAAAAGACTACAAATGAACTAAATGTGACTCAAAGTCTCCATTTGCGGGGAAACAACCCTGCAACCTAAGGCTGAGCATGATCCACCAGTCAACCCAGCAGTTCCCTCCAGCTGTTCTTCCCATGGGCTTGCTGGGACTGGAGGCCTGCTGGTGCTTAGCAGTGGCCACTTGCTGGCCCTCTTCAGACAGCAGGGCCTGATCCCAGACTGCAGGTCCTGTCGACCATGCTCTGCCCCCACTCCAAGGAAGGAAAGCGCCAGGAACTGGTCCATCCAGGGCAACTGTCCAGGGGCATCCGCCTGCACCCTGGCCTGAGCTCTCCTCTAAAGGATGCCATAAAATGAGGGCACACAGGGCACACAACCCCTGCTGTGGCCCCTGCAAATGACAGCTGCTTGTGTCTGCCCTGAACCCTGTTCAATAAACAGCAGAAACTGTTATTTTATTCCATCACATGACACAGAAACTGACCTTGACATCCCGAAGACCAGAAACATCACGTGGAGCTCGAGAGCAACTCCGACTCCGACTCCTGGCCACAGAGGAGGGGGGAGCAGAGTCTTCCCGCTTTCTTTTCCTAGTGACACTCCGGGATCTTCTTGCCTGGACTGCGTAGTGGGCCTGCAAAGCAGGGTAAGCAACACTCAGTGCTCAGGACCCCAGCCCCACCTCTAGGTTCAGCGACAGACACGAGGTCACTCCAAGAGGAGAGGAGAGGAGTGTTTGAACTATTACCATATGGGCTAACGATCTTGAAAATATACACAGTATTTTCACATTAGTGACATTTTCCATGTCAATTTCACATTAGTTATTGGTCAAATATTCTTATTCACTTAACAGAAGCTGCTTTATGTAAGAAAGCTGATTTTAACTCCACTTAAAGAAACTCAGAACTCTCATTTAAAAATGATTATTAGAGGATCACATCACAACTTATATTTCAGACATAAATAAAGCTCTCTCCCTCATCGCCCCATTTTTGGGGTACTGATACGAACACAAAGGGACAATCATCAGACAGAAACTGCAGACTACACATCTAGAGGACAGAGTCTGCAGCCACACCCAGGCACATCACGGCACTGCCTCACACTGTCTGTGGATTTTTTTTTTTTTTTTTTTTTGAGACAGAGTCTTGCTCTGTCACCCAGGCTGCAGTGCAGCCTCAACCCACCACTTCAGCCCAGACCCACAGCCAGTGAATTCTCAACCCACCACTTCAACCCAGACCCAGAGCCAGTGAATTCTCAACCCACCACTTCAACCCAGACCCAGAGCCAGTGAATTCTCACCCCACCACTTCAGCCCAGACCCAGGGCCAGTGAATTCTCAACCCACCACTTCAACCCAGACCCAGAGCCAGTGAATTCTCAACCCACCACTTCAACGCAGACTGAGGGTCAGGAAATCCTCAAGCCATCACTTCAACCCATACCTAGAGCCAGCAAAAATCTCAAGAGAAAAAGTGGAAGCTGTCATTGCTTTTTGCTGTAATTTCCCACGGCTTTCCAGGACATTGGTTTTCTTTTTTTTCCTTTTGAGACAGAGTCTTGCTCTGTCGCCCAGGCTGGAGTACAATCTCAGTGGCACAATCTCAGCTCACTGCAACCTCCACCGCCTGGTTTCAAGCAATTCTCCTGCCTCAGCCTCCTGAGTAGCTGGAATAACAGGTGCACGCCACCAAGTCCCGCTAATTTTTGCATATTTTTAGTGGAGATGGGGTTTTACCATACTGGCCAGGCTGGTCTCAAACTCCTGACCTGTTGATCCACCTGCCTCAGCCTCCTAAAGTATTGGGATTACAGGCGTGAACCATGGCGCCCAGCTGGTTTTCTTTATTAAAAAGGTGTATCCAGACACATGAACACGTGAACCGCCCCACACTCACGTCGTCTTTATTGTCCATGTCAACACCAAGACTACGCATCTCATTCTCCAAAACTGTCCTCTGAACCTGAGAAGAAGAAAATGACATATTTGCTTTAAGCAAAATTAGTTTGATGAAATGTTGAAAAAAACTTCACAGGAAAAAATATATATATATATATTCCAACAATTATTTTAGAAGTTGCAATTTTTACTGGGCCTTGCTTTCATGTTTTTGGATAGCTCAATTAAATCCCACGAAAACTAACATTTATGGAGCAATTGCTGTCGTAAGACACGTCTGTCTACTCTTCACCACAACATGGGAGACAGTGACCGTCTCCATCACAGGTGAGACACTAAAGCTGAGGTTAGCAAGGTGGCCTAAGACAAAGGCAGTGTGCCAACCTCTCTCCTTCCGGAGATGGCAGAGCCCCCACCCAGAAAAGTACAAAAATGTCCAAGTCCACCATAACCAGTCACTTGCCGCCACCATATGAAAACAACGTATCCTGAATGTCAAGTTACTTCCCCTCCAGTTACATGTTAACTGCCCTCTACCTGGTCTTTCCTTTGCCCCATCCCACCCTGCCACAGAGCCAACAAACTGCCTTTTGTAGACTGGGTCAGGTTCCTGTAAATTGCTAAAGAGTCCAGATTTAATGCAGAAATTAAAGAGCAAGAAAACCAGCCAGGCGCAGTTGCTCAAGCCTGTAATCCTAGCACTTTGGGAGGCCAAGGCGGGCAGATCACTTGAGGTCAGGAGTTTGAAACCAGCCTGGCCAACATGGTGAAACCCCATCTCTACTAAAAATACAAAAATTAACCGGGCTTGGTGACAGGTGCCTGTAATTCCAGCTACTCAGGAGACTGAGAAAGAAGAATCACTTGAACCCAGGAGGTGGAGGTTGCAGTGTGTCAAGACTGCACCACTGCACTCCAACCTGGCTATAGAGAAAGGCTCCATCTCCAAAAAGAAAAAAGAGAGAGAAAGAAAGAAAAAGAAAGAAGAACAGGAGGCTGGGCGTAGTGGCTCACACCTGTAATCCAAGCACTTTGGAGGCCAGGACAGGCGGATCACCTGAGGTCGGGGGTTCAAGACCAGCCTGACCAACAGTGAAACCCCATCTTAAAAAAAAATAAAAAAGAAATAAAAACAGGAAAATGTTAACTGATTGCCTTAAACATCGATGAACCGTTAAGTTACAATTTTTATCTGTACAACTGCAGAATGACTGGATCCATGACAGTGCTGAACTTGAAGATGAAAGTCACCAAGAAAGGACACACTAACCAGAATATAAAAGATCAGGATGTGAGCAATACTGCAAATCCACATACACCAACAAAAGAAGAATGTGCAATCTTATGGCCATAAATGGGTTGAAAAGTTGTTATTTAGCAATGATTACACAGGAATCCAGTTTGCAAAAAAATAGATCACACCTCTTTGGAAAGACACAAACTTGCCTTCTTAGCAGTTCGAGGCATCCTGGGTCCCTGTGTATTCTTTTCTTTGGACTCCAGAATTTTCAACTTCTTCTTCTCTCTGATCTGCTTTGCCAGCTGTCGGATTTCCAGCATCTCCTCATCTTCACTCTCAGAGTCACTGTCATACTCTCCGGCAGCCGTTCTCAGCTCTTCTTCTTTTTCTAATTCTTCCAATTTCTTTTAAAATAGAGTTGTAATTAAGCAGAATTAATAGTGCACAAAGTCCTAACTGAGCGAGTGTGGCAGCGTGTGTAGGAGAGCTGTTTCCCTGCATTGGCGGGTGGCGCGAATGCCCCGGTTGGGTCCACCCGGCCCTGCCTATCTATGCGCGGTGTATCTCACAAGGCGGGTTCCATGATGAAAATGGAGACCACGTGAACGCCAGCTGCCAGCAAATCAGTACCTGCTGTGCACCATTTTCCTTCTTTAAAACAATGAAACTCCAAGGCTTAAAATGTGCAGAGACTGCCCCCATCACTTCCAGGGCTCCCAGCAGACACACAAAAGGAGCTTAGTCCTGAGAAACGGAATTTGTGCCACATCCCATGTATCCATTCTAACGTCACCCCAAATACTGGCTCACTGGCTACTTTTTCACACGATGAAAATGAAATACATCCAGGTTCATCAGACCCTAATGAAGCAACCCAGTCAGGAGCCCAACAGGCAGATGTGCCTGTGTGAGACTCTGGCCAGGAGTGCAGAGGGTGAGGCTGGGGGGCCAGGCCTCATGGAAGGGGATGGCATGGGCACAGCTGGATCGGAGGAGGGGAGTCCCAAGGCTTGTCTTGCCCAGGAGCGTGGATGGCAGAGGGAAGAGGCTGGGAAGGCAGGTGGCCACTGCGTGGTCAGTGAGGGTGCAGGCTGGACGACGGCCCCAGCAGTGGTGAGAGCAGATGCCCTGAGGCCAGTCCTCCGGCACCAACAGAATTGAGATAATGCCCCAGAATCTGCTATGGAGGTCCAAGGAGCACAGAGACACGAGACTGAAAACATGAACTAGATTATGGAGTGCCTATGGGAACCACAGAGTGGAAACAGGACACGCAGCCGGCAAGTACTGTACATAGCATTTTCCAAAAAGCTCAACTGAGAGAAAAAGACAGGATAGCAACTAACGGGGGACATGGTTTAAGTATGTTTTTGTTTTTTAAAAGATGAGTAAAACTTGTGAACATTTATATGCTAAGAAAAAGCAAGTAGGGAGGGGAGTGAGGCAGGAAAAAGATGTGGCAGAGCAGAGCTCCCGAGGAAGAGGGCCCAGCAGAGCAGAACCTAGCCAGCACCTAGCGTTTCCACCAGAGGCTCGGGGTGGGGCAGAGGTGCAGGAGGCAGAGTCAGGGTGGAGGCAGGTGCAGCGTCTCCACCAGAGGCTCGGGGTGGGGCAGACGTGCAGGAGGCAGAGTCAGGGTGGAGGCGGGTGCAGAATGAAGGGGACGGGCCCGGCTGAGCCAAAGCTGTGCTGCTGTCTTCCAGCAGTAACGTTATAATAAAAAGGAAAAAAACCCACAATTTAAACAGTGACACAAACCTTCATGATGGCTGGATCAATATAATCAGCTATATTATGGCCTTCCCAGATCTCTGGTATCTTATCATGTTTTTCAGACGAATTCATTAAATCCCAGTACTCTAAAGTTAGAAAAAGGTGGTCACATTTATAGTAGCTTTTAATGTCTTCAAGTACTATGTGCGTAAAATGAGTTGCGACTGATGGCAAGTCATGTGACTCCACCGCATGACAGCACTGCATGCAATTCCATGTGCGAACAGTATCACCCTCATTCAACACCCATACACGCAAAAGCTACAGAAGCCACTCTACCACCCCAAAACAACAGAAAATAATGGAAGAACTCTCATTGAGTGCTGTCAACTTTTTTTTTGAGACAGAGTCTCGGCTCTGTCATCCAGGCTAGAGGGCAGTGGTGTGATTTCTGCTCACTGCAGCCTCAACCTTCCGGGCTCAACTGATCCTCCCATCTCCGCCTCCCGTGTAGCTGGGACTATAGGTGCACGCCACCATGCCTGGCTGATCTTTGTATTTTCTGTAGAGACAGAGTTTTGCCATGTTGCCCAGGTTGGTCTCAAACTCCTGGGCACAGGTGATCCAAAGTGCTGTGATTATAGGCATTAGCCACTGCACCTGGCCCTCAGGATACAACTTTCACTCTTCAAGAAATTACAAGTTGATAAATAGGCTATAACACTTTTACTCATTAAAATCTTTTCCCACTTTTCTGAAATACTTCACGTGTAATCGGCATTTTAAAATAATGATCACACTCTGGTCCTTACTCTGAAGATCCAAAATATAATCATCTCCCATTTCCAGCTCAAGATCTCGTTCCTGCAATGGAAAGAGAAATTATCGTCAGCTTCATTTTGCCTTTCAGTGCTCTGCCCCCTTCCTGTCATGTGAAACCATCTCTCTCCAGCCCTGTCAATATCAGCAGGCTCACCTTCTGTGTCTGGTAGGGAGGCTGTTTCTGGCCATCTGTGGACTGCCTGTCCTACTCATTCATTTTGTTCTTCCCTTAAGGCAAAGAGCTCCACGAGAGGGGCTTCTGCGGGGGCTCACTGCTGTGTCCACAGCCTGACGCATGGACACCCACGGCTCCACTTTGATGCCCCAGGCCCCTGCCCACCCCCATGAGAACTCCGCGTGAGAGCTCTGGCAGCATACCCTCTTCTTCTTGGGCTCCTCGATTTCCATCCTCTTCCTGCGTGCCACCACTCCTTCAGGGATGAAAGGGGGCCTCTCCTGAGAAGACATCAGGTAAAGTCTTTACGTGGAATGCCTGCTGAATGAGAAACTTACAAAACCAAAAAAGTAGAAGCAAATTCCCTATATGCAAGGGGAACAGAAAACCACACCCAGACCAATTAATACCACCAGATTATTTTAGGGGAGAGGAGTCAGTTACAAGGTCAGTTTGAGCACAGAGACCAGGAGGACTCCACAAATTGATTCCAAAATTTATTTAGGAAAAAATGAAATCATGATTATCGTGAAAAATTATGGAAGAAAGTGATAAGAAATAATGGTGGATCAACAAATTAAAGAAATTTGGACATAAACTCAAGTGCATATAAGAATTCAACAGAAAGATAAGATAAATATTCAATACTCAGGTCAGAATGACTTTGCCATGAATGATAAGCCTTTCTATGCATGTTGCAAACCTCAACAGCCAGAAATAAAATATTAATATATGCTAATAGTTCAAAAATGTACAACACATTTGAGGTTAAAAAGGCAAGCGACAAAAAGAGAAAAAAAGATTTATAATGTTATCTGACAAGCATCCAACCCTTTTAATATAAAAATAACAAATCAGTGAGAAAAAGAAAAACAACCTAAAGAACTGAAAAGGCCAATGAGCAGACAAAAGCATTCACCCACACCCATCGCTACAGAAACACACAGCAATAATACCATTTTTACACAAGACGGACAGAGTTAGCACCCAACCACATCCAGGACGTAAGGAAAGACACAGCCTCCAATGTCAGTGGAGCACAAACAGGAGGGAGTCTGTGGGACAGCAACATTGTCGACACCACATCGTGAAGTCCAGACACGTTTGCAATAAAACAGTAAGACACAGCATAATGATGTGTACCCATGCACAATGGACAAATAATTAAAATTATTTACTTTTTTTTTTTTTAAATAGACAGGATCCCACTATATTGCCCAGGCTGGTCTTGAACTCCTGGGTTTAAGTGGTCCTCCCACCTTGGCCTCCCAAGTGCTGGGATCACAGGCATGAGCCACCTCACACGGCCAAAGACATGAAAATTTAAAGAATAAAACATTTCCACCTGTGTTTAAAGAACTTTTTAAAAATTAAGCTTCTATATCAGAAACATTTCTAGAAGGATAAACTAGACTAACAGTGGGTGCGTCATGTAGTGAGAAGTGGGTGCCACACGGCGCTTTGCACTCTTCTCCACCTTCTTGATTCTTTACACAAGAAGGTGAAACTGAGGCCCACCCACAATATCCACCAGTGTGCGTGTGAAACCGGATCCAAGGCTTCTGGAAAAGGCCAATGGGTGGTATCGTCCCAGGGTAAGCCATCTTACCTTATCGTCCCTCCTGGTTGGGACGGCCAGGTGCAGTCTATTCAGCACCTCATTCACTTTATTTCCCTTCATTTTGGTTTCCACTCGATGAGCCAAAAGCCTATCGCAAGCCTAATAATGTAAAAAACAAAGCAAAGTCACAAACACATCCTAGAGCACCTGCTTTAGGCTAAAATTGTCTGGGGTAGGAAGAGCAAAGCATCCCCTCAAATCACACTGTCCACTGGGGAGTAGGTCTTGGAGGGGTCTCTCTTCATGCCCCTCATCTCACTGCTGTGAGGGCTCCAAGTGTTAATAATGTCTAGAAAGAAAACTCTTATCACAACGACCGACTGTAATCAAACAAGAGAAGGACAGTAAAAAGACTGATACCTGACTTAAGGCAGCACTGACCTCTGTTTTAACTTTGATAACACCTTCCTCAGTCAGGGTGCTGGTCTCTATTACAGGGAATCCTTCAGCCTGCAAATCTGTAAATATTTTCTGGGAATGCAAAGAAAAAAATGAGAGATGTTTTATTGATTTCCAGTTTCCTAGAGAACAAACTGTATAGTTCTGCAGATGGAAAAATCTGCTGTTAGTCTAATGGGGATCTTATACGTGAATTTAAGCTTTTCTCTTGCTGTTTTCAGAATTTCCTTTGTATTTGACTTTTGACAGTTTGACTACAATGTGCCTTGGGGAAGACTTTTCTAGGTTGACTCTATTTAGGAAACTTTGAACTTCCTAGTTTTAGATGTCTGTACCTCTCCCCAGTCTTGGAAAGTTTTCACCTATTTCATTAAATAGCTTACTAAGCCTTTTCCCTTCTCTTCTCCTTGAACTCCCATAATACTAACATGTATTCATTTAATGTTATACTGTAAATCTCTTAGGCTTCCTTCATCCTTTTTCATTCTTACTCCTTTTTTTCTTTCCGACTAGGTAGTTTCAAATGACAGAGATTTTTTTCTTCTTGTTTATCCAGTCTGCTGTTAAAACTGTCTTGTTGGGCCGGGCATAGTGGCTCATGTCTGTAATCCTAGCACTTTGGGAGGCCGAAGCAGGCGGATTGCCTGAGACTGGGAGTTCGAGACCAGCCTGGCCAGCATGGCGAAACCCTGTCTCTACTAAAAATACAAAAATTAGGTGGGTGTGGTGGCAGGCACCTGTAATCCCAGCTACTCAGGAAGCTGAGGCAGGAGAATCACTTGAACCCAGGAGGAGGAGGTTGCAGTGAGCTGAGAGCGTGCCATTGTACTCCAGCCTGGGCGACAGAGTGAGATTCTGTCTCAAAAAAAAAAAAAAAAAAAAAATTAAGAAACAAAAACATAACTCTATTGTATTTTTATCTCATTCATTAAATTCTTCAGCTACAGGATTTCTGTTTGGCTCTTTTCTTTACAATTTCTGTCTCAATTTAATTTCTTGTTCATATCATGAAATCATTTTCCTGATTTTGTTGAATTGTCTGTCTACATTTTCTTGTTTCTCATTGAGTTTCCTTCAAAAAGTAATTATTACTTTGAATTCTCTTTCTGACAATTCATTGGTTTCCTTTTCATTAGGGTCTGTTCTAGAGAGTTGTATTCCTTTCATGATTTCTTATTTCCTTGCTTTTTCATGTTTCTTGTGTTCCTTCCTTGATGTCCCTGCATCTAGTAGGACAATGGCCTCTTTTTTTTTTTTTTTTTTTTGAGACGGAGTTTCGCTCTTGTTGCCCAGGCTGGAGTGCAATGGCGCGATCTCAGCTCACCACAACCTCCGCCTCCCGGGTTCAGGCAATTCTCCTGCCTCAGCCTCCTGAGTCGCTGGGACTACAGGCACGCGCCACCATGCCCAGCTAATTTTTTGTAGTTTTAGTAGAGACGGGGTTTCACCATGTTGACCAGGATGGTCTTGATCTCTTGACCTCGTGATCCACCCGCCTCGGCCTCCCAAAGTGCTGGGATTACAGGCTTGAGCCACCGCGCCCGGCCAATGGCCTCTTTTATACTTCTTCTGGAGTGGTTTTCATGGAGAAAGATTTTCACCTCACGTGGGTTTTAGTGTGCCATTTTGGAAGGGAACTGTGATTCATTCTGGATAGGAGCAGTGATGTCATTTCTGTGCAGTTTCCTCACCTCCATGAAATGACAGCAGTAACTGGGTGGCTCAGTCGCCTCAGCTCTGGAAGTTTGTGCCAGTGGCCATGTACATTTTTAATATCCTTGGTGTGAAGGGCTTTTGGGGTCCTGCTATTCTTGTTTTTCCCGCGGACTTAGCTGAGGGGATCTCTCTTGGTGTCATCTCTGACATGGTCTGCAAGTAGCTGCCACAGTACTGGGTTCTAGCTGCAGGTACCCAGATTTCTTTGGGACTGGGGTTCTAGCCTTAGGGCCTTGTGTACCTGTCATGGTAGCTGGCATTGGGGTGCAGGTTTGTTCTGTGGCGGATGTGTGACTCTGAAGCACCCCTAGCTTAGGCCCGGGGCCAGGTTGTAGCTGTGACTCTACCCATGGGGTAAGGAGTCCTAGCCTGACTCCTGGGAAGAAGCACTCTGGAAGTTTGAGCCTGGGAAGCCAGGTACAGCTGCACTTCAGAAACCTGAGCCAGTAGGGAGGGCTTAGTGTCAACTCGAGGGGATGAGGCACTGTGTAGTAGTAACTCTGGACCCTGGGATGGTGGGGCCCAGCAGTATCCCAGACTCTGTGAGGGGGCAGCAAGGACCCCAGAATGGACCAGCCCAGCTGTCATTTGGGCCCTGGAGGACAGAGAGGAGAACAGCAGTGACTCCACTTCCTGGAAAGAGTGGTGTCTCCGCAGCTCAGACTGTAGGGTTAGTCCAGCTCCGGGGTTACAGCAGGTGCTGGAGCTGTTTGCATGGTGGGGCAGGGAGTCAATACTAGTTGGGGACATCAACACCCGACTCTCAGCATTAGACAGATCCTAGGCAAAAAAGAATCAACAAATACAGGATTTAAAGTGCACTGTGGGTCAAGCACGGTGGCTCACGCCTGTAATCCTAGCACTTTGGGAGTTCGAGGCAGGTGGATCACTTGAGATCAGAAGTTCAAGACCAGCCTGCCCAACATGGTGAAACCCCATCTCTACTAAAAATACAAAAAATTAGCCAAGTGTGGTGACATGCACCTGTAATCTCACCTACTCTATAGGCTTAGGCAGGAGAATCACTTGAACCCGGGAGGCGGAGGCTGCAGTGAGCTGAGATCATGTCACTGCGCTCCAGCCTGGGTGACAGAGCAAGACTCTGTTTCAAAAACAAACAAACCAACAAACAAACAAATAAATAAAGTGCACTGTAGACCAAACATCTATAGAACATGTCATCCGACTGCTGCATAATACACATTCTTCTTAGTCCATGGAACATTCTCCGGGATAGACCATATGTTAGGCCGCAAAACAAATCTCATCAATTTTTAAAACTTAAAATCGTGTCAGGTATCTTTTCAGATTACAATGGAATAAAACTAGAAATCAATACCAAGAGAAACTTTCAAAACTGTAAAGAAAAAGTGGGGGAGAATTACACACATGTCCCAGAATGACCAATGGGACAGTGAGGAAATTCAGGAGGAAATTAAGAAGGGAAAAGTGCCGCTGACACTGCTGGTCCAGGACACAATTTGAAAGCCGCTCCACCAGTGCACGCTGCTAAAAGCATCTATCATGAAGGATGCCTACTGAAAGGTTTGTAGAATTCAATTAGTTTGAAAAATTATGTCCAACAATCACTGCATGCCTCTTGGAGAAAGCTAGCAGACACTTATCACCTATAGATCCAGAAAGCCCCAAATTTCAAGAAACTTCTCCTTCACTCAGTCATTCGTTTCCCAAACTTATTTAATCACAGAACCTGTTTTATGAAGTAACACCTGTGAGTACCCTTCTCGAACAGCTCTCTCACAAGTAATCACATTTTCCGGAAGTCCAACCATCAAATACACGTTTCCACACACTCGAGAACAAAGTAGGAATCCAGAAACCTATGTTTTTACTTTAGTTTGCCACTAACTAGGTTTTTACTATGTCACATCACTAAACCACTGAGGATCCTGTCTCAACTGTAAAACACAATGGTGGACTAAATAATCCTAAAATTCCTTCTTCTAAACTTTGGCTGTCTGAGATGAGAATTCAAAATTGGTAAGTAAAATATATTCAAAATATTAACATGATTTACCTGATCATCCTCAGAAAGTTCAGCTATTCTCTTCACATCACATTTGTTGGCTACAACTATAAGAGGCTAGGCAAGGAAGAAAAATAATAAAATCATTATTCTCATACTGCAGGATATGAAGGAAAACACGAGTGACCACACTCACCTTGTTGACAAAGAGAGGTCTGATGTTCTGGAAGAGTTCCAGCTGCTCCCTCAGCCCGTGCCCACACTGCTCAGACACGTCCATCACGTACAGGATGGCAGCACGGAGGTGGGCCAGGGCGGTGATGGCCTGCATCTCGATGGTGTTCCTGTCCTCTAGAGGGTGGTCCAGGATCCCAGGAGTGTCTACAACCTAACACAGCCAGACCATGTCACTGAAAGCACACTCACCCACGAGCTTCTTGTCCAGCACATCCCAGAAGTCACTCACACACCCAACCAGACCTAATAATCTTAACGGGGGAATTTATTAAAAAAAATAGTAGTCTCCCAAACTGAACATGACAAAATAAACAAAGCATTGAGAGAAAAGTACACACTATTTAAACATCAACAAAGGGGGGAGGAACCTCGTAGAGCTCTATGAAATGCTAGCCACACCCTTACGAGAAATGACTTCTCTTTTTACTAGTGACATCATAAAATACAAAAACTGGGATAACTGAGACCCTCCCATGCCTTAGGTATTACTTTCTTCACGATTTATAAAATTACACTGTGGAAACATTGCTTCATGCTTATTATTTTCTTTTTTGAGACAGAGTTTCATTCCTATCGCCCGGGCTAGAGCTCAATGGTGCAATCTTGGCTCACTGCAACCTCCGCCTCCCGGGTTCAAGCGATTCTTCTGCCTCAGCCTCCTGAGTAGCTGGAATTACAAGCACTCGCCACCACACCTGGGTAATGTATTTTTAGTAGAGACGGGGTTTCACTATGTTGGCCAGACTGGTCTCAAACTCCTGACCTCAGGAGATGCACCTGCCTCAGCCTCCCAAAGTGCCGGGATTACAGGTGTGAGCCATTGTGCCCCGCCTGCTTCATGCTTTTAAACTGTATACATGCCATTTCTGATAACAGGGTTAGAAATGACACAAAAAGAATTTCATTTTATGTTAACAAAAGGCAGAAATCCACACTGGTGGCTGACTGCTTCCCCTGAATTATTTCAGAGACATGTGACCTGTTCTTATGCATCCCTAGAACTCAGATGAGTTTTATCATGATGGAGAAATTTCAAGTTCTTGATAACCCTAGATAAACCAAGATATTTGTTCTGTTTAAAGACAAGACTCTCGGCCGGGCGCGGTGGCTCAAGCCTGTAATCCCAGCACTTTGGGAGGCCGAGGTGGGTGGATCACAGGGTCAAGAGATTGAGACCATCCTGGTCAACATGGTGAAACCCCGTCTCTACTAAAAATACAAAAAAAATCAGCTGGGCATGGTGGCGCGTGCCTGTAGTCCCAGCTACTCAGGAGGCTGAGGCAGGAGAATTGCCTGAACCCGGGAGGCGGAGGTTGCGGTGAGCCGAGATCGCGCCATTGCACTCCAGCCTGGGTAACATGAGTGAAACTCCGTCTCAAAAAAAAAAAAAAGA